CGTTAAAAATTGTTAAAAATCAACCCCTAAATTTGTTCATACAAAAATAGTCTCTAAACATTGGTAATAAGGTCTATAATGTAGTTAGTAGAGAGCGGTCATCGGTGACCGCTTGGGCATGTACGGGATAGAAGAAATCATCATATAAGAAATTTAGAAGAAATCATTATATAAGAAATCTAGAAGAAACCATTAAATGCTTACCATGATCCTCGCTAAGTAGCTGTGACTCCACATCATCGAGCCATGCTGTGAAGTCATCCAGCCCTCGGAGGTACACCCTGGCTTGATACGCTTCTTGGAGACGCTCGCGACGGAGCTTGGCGGCGGCCTGGGGAGAAATATTATGTTGTTATAATGTCTTGGAAGATGAAAATATTGGCAACAAAAGAATCGATAACATCTGTGATGCGATTACGGCACTTAATACCACTGTACAATGTAACACCCACTTTTCACTATTTTATGTTATAAGGCCCATGTAATAGGGGGTGAGCCTATTACCATATACCGGACACATTTCCATACTCCGTGCTACAACTTAAAGTTTTAGAAAACCCAGTAACACTTTGCTCGACTCGACAATCGAACCTGAGACCCCTAGCCCAGCAGTTACACTTGCAACCAATCGACCAACGAGGCAGTCTTTCCTTACTAATAAATATGATTTAAATTAATTACTTGAAGACTAAGAGCCCCGGTTTGGCTTGAAACTAATCGAGCATCCTCAAATAGCTACGTAAGTAGTAAATACAAGAAATAATTACCTGTAGTTCTCGCCACTGGTTTTCTAGTTCCTCAACGTGTTTGGCGATCTCCTGTGAAGCGTAGTGTTTACCCTCTGTAAGAAATAAAACAGAAAATAATGTAAATTTTTAGTTTATTCAATATCTACGCAATACGGATGCAATGGGCGCTAGTGTTACAACTCAAGAGTACGACACAATAACAATATCGATCGATCGGAATTGGATTCAAGAGTAAGCCCCCACGGCTTATAATCTATACTAATATTATAAAGCTGAAGAGTTTATTTTTTTGTTTGTTGGTTTGAACGCGCTAATCTCCGAAACTACTGGTTCGAATTGAAAAAATCTTTCTGTGTTGGATAGCGCATTTATCGAGGAAGGGTATCCTTACTAGTCCTTATCCTTACTATCCTTACTAATATTATAAATCGGAAAGTGAGTTTGTTTGTTTGTTCCGCTTTCACGCCTTAACTACTAAACCGATTGCTTTGAAATTTTGCAGACGTAAAGTTAGAAGTCCGGATTAAATAATAGGGTACTTTTTATCCCGGAAATATTTGATATTACCGAGGGAAAACATGTGTCAATAAACATATGTCACATTAGCTTTTTATCCTTTTGTGACGCGAGCGAAGCCGCGGGTAAAAGCTAGTAGACTATAAAATATCACGCTACGATTAATAGGCGCCGAGCAGAGCGAGTGAAACCGCGCGGAAGTAGCTAGTGTCTAATTATAAGTTTGAAATCGCCAACCCCTATTGAGTAAGCGTGGCCATTAATGCTCAAACCGTGAGAGGAATTTGGTCAGCAGTGGACACTTATTTGCTGTTGATGAAGACGTTCAGTTGATCCATCAGTCAGTTTGCCGCCCTATTTTAAGATAATACATACCTAATAAATTATTATATCTCCCTACCTAGTAGCAGCGCGACAGTCGCCGCGTCGCGGATCGCGAAATGCTGCTCATGAATATGAGCCTCTAGCATGGCTTGAAACTAGTCCAGTTCATCGTCAATTTACTACGAGGTAAGCCGAAAACATAATAATTTATTTAGTTTGTCTCATGAAAGTTATAATACATACCTATTAGAGTTTCCCCATGGTTAGCGACATCGTCGATGCGTCCTTTGTTCGCGGCCAGCTCAGATTCGAAAGCCGCGTGCTTCTGTATCTTGCTTTGCAGGTTCGATAGCTCTCTGGTGGAAAATAAAGAAGATTAAGTTAAAAATAAAAGTTGATGAAGTTAAGTGTGTTCAGTGTGGGAGAGCCATGCTTCGGCACGAATGGGCCGGCTCGACCGGAGTGATACCACGGCCGAGCAGAAAACCGACGTGAAAAACGCTTGCGTTGTGTTTCGTCGTGTGACTGAGGTTACCGGAGGCCCAATTACCCCTCCCCCCCTTCCCCAATCCCTGAATTCCCATCAATCCTCAAATTCCTAATCTCAAAATTAACGTTAAAATTGTACAACAAATGGTTATTAATTTTACAACAAAACATAACATAACATCACGCCTTTTATCCCCGAAAGAGTAGGCAAAAGTGCACATTATGCCACAGTACAATGTAACACCCACTTTTCACTATTTATGTTATGAGTCCCATGTAATAGGGGGTGAGCCTATTGCCGTATACATACCAGACACAATTCCAGACTCCGTGCTACTACTGAGAATTAAAAAAAAAATTAAAACCCAGTAATACTTTGCCCGACGCGGGAATCGAACCCGAGACCCCTTGCCCGGGAGTCGCACTTGCGACCACTCGGCCAACGAGGCAGTCAGTTTTTTAACAGTCAAATCAATTTTTTAAAAACTGAATTCATAATTGTAAAATGTATAATTTTACGGTTACAATTTTAGTAATAGCATTTTGTAATCCAAAGTGGTTCCCCATTTATAGCAAAAAGCACTCTATTTCAACTTCACAAAACACACAACACGACTTTACTCACCTGTAATTCTGATCGTTAGCAATCTGCATCTTCAACGAGATCCATTCCCTCTCATGATACAGGTTCCTCAAGAACTGATGTAGCTGACGAGACTGTTCCAAAATCTCACCGCGTTGCTCACAGGATTCCTAGATACGAAACGAAGGTATTGTAATAAACAAAAAATAAATAAATTTAATTAAAATAATCTATACATATATGGGGAAAAGTCCCTTAACCCCGGACGGCGCCTAACGCCGGACACTTATATTATCTCGATAACTAATAACGCGAACGATTTAATTTTTAGGGGGAAGTCTCCCAGTGGTAGACACCTAAGATTTGCAGTAAAACTTGAATCGCTCGTGTTATCAGTTATCGAGAGAATACACACCTAACACTGTTAGGTGCCGTCCGGCGTTACGGGACTTTCCCCTACTAGCTGACCCGGCAAAGGTTGATTTGCCATATAAATAATGTCGTAGAAGGGTGAAAATTGAAGATCGTATGTATTTTTGTATGTTATATCATAAAAAATAGAAATTAAAAATTTTGTCTAAAAAATAAAAAAAAATAGGGGTGGACTACCCCTAACATTAAGGGGAATGAAAGTTAGATGTTGGCCGATTCTTATAGATACCGGATAAGCACAAAAAATTTCATCAAAATAGGTCAAGCCGTTTCGGAGGAGTATGGCAACGAAAACTGTGACACGAGAATTTTATATATTAGATATAATAAAATTGTAGGAAGGTCACAAGTGTACATTGAATATTTTTTAAAAGAATACTTGAGGCGTATCTACAATCGATACGGAAACCAGTTTTTAGAATTTTTATCTGTTTGTCTGTATCCGTCTGTCCGGGCTAAACTCAAAAAGTACTGCATAGTATTACTTCAAATTTTGCTTGAATATTACTAACTAGCTACTTCCGCGCGGTGTCATATTTCTTCAGCTCCTAATGATCGTAGCGTGATGTTTTATAGCCTATAGCCATCCTCGATAAATGCGCTATCCAACACAAAAATAATTATTCAAATCAGACTTGTAGTTACGGAGATTAGCGCGTTCAAACAAACGAACAAAAAAAAAACTCTTCCGCTTTATATAATAGTATAAGAGTATAAGATAGGTCGGGTCAACACAAAGGCTACAGAATATCACGCTATCACCTACGAGGGAGGAGCTGTGAATCACTATTCCACAGGCAAAGTCGCGGGCACAGCTAGGTGATCAATCTTACAATGTCTTACCACAAGTTTGTCTCGTCTATTCAGGATGGTCTTCAACCTGGTCTCCACATAGTCTCTGTCGAAGTGCTGATCTTCCAACATGCTGGCTGCGAACTTCTGCAGCTCGTCGACTCTACCGAGCTGGCTGTGAAGGAGTTTCGAGAACTCCAGGTGTTTGCGGATCAGAGTTTCTACAGCTGTTGATAGGAAATTATAGGATTTTAACACTCGAATACCGAAAGGGTATCCAATTGTTTCCTAAATTTTATTACAATGTCCGTCTAGATTGAAAGATGATGTAGTGACAACGATTGAAAAGGGAATGTTACGCTGGTTTGGACATGTAGAAAGGATGGATGAAAGTAGAGTAATGAAAGAAGTATACAGAGAGCATATGAATGGGGCCGTCGGTAGAGGGCGCCCTAGACGGACATATAGTGACCAGATTGGCGATATATTGAAGAAGGGCCAAATTAAAAGTACCCTTAACCGACAAGCATGCATGAAAAGATTGATGACTGTTATTGAAGCGAAAGAGGTATGTAAGAATCGTAGTAAGTATTCGTTTCTATATTGAAATAAAAAATACGTGTCTAATGTTTTAAAATAATCTACCAGACGGACATTAAACTAAAAAATAGGCATCTACCCTATTATTAGGCGTGATGTTTTGACAATAGCTTTCATAAAACCACCAACATAACACCACGCCTTTTATCCTCGAAAGGGTAGGCAGAGGTGCACAATATACACTATTCACTATTAATGTTATGAGTCCCATGTAATAGGGGGTGAATCTATTGCCATATACCGGACATCATTCCAGACTCCGTGCTACTGCTGAGAATTTAAAATACCTCAGTAGGGTTTGATATTAAATAAATACTTTAAATATTAACTTCTTACCGTCCAAGTTCTCTCCAAGGTCGTCATTATTCAGGAACGCCTCTTTAGAAGCAAGCCAGTCCTCTGTTTGTCTCGCTTGCTCTTTCAGCAGTTGTAATTGATGCGCCTGTAGACGGAAGATAGCGATATAGTTTTGTATTGTCGAAGCAAAGAAATTGTTAAAGGTATTATACATCAACAGCCTATAAATGCCCACTGCTGACAAAGGCCTCTCATACTGAGAAGGTGAGCATTAATCACCGCGCTTGCTCAAAGCGGTTTGGCAATTTCAAACGTAAAATTGGAATTATAAGTGCCCACTGCTGACCGAAGGCCTTCACTGAGAAGGTTCGAGGATTAATCACCACGCTTGCTTAATGCGGGTTGGCGATTTAAAACTTGTAATTAGAAATTATAAGCCAAGGTTTTTCCTCGCGATGTTTTATTTTATGATGATAGTATACCTGTGTCAAATACTGTTTCCTCTTCAGCCAGGCCTGGTCCAAGGTGCTGGAGAGTACTTCCACTCGTTTCACCTTCTCGGGAACCTGTTCAGCTTCCTTCTGGAGTGAGCCGATGGCTTTCTGGCGGCCGTCGATTTCAGCCTGGAAGGGAATGTAGGAATTAGTTTTAAGTTTAAAAATATTTTAGTAGTACAATACAGACAGACCGGAAGAATCTTCGATTAGACCATTTCAGGCCCCTTTTGCTATCAGAATAATCCCCAAGACGATCGACAAGCCTGGTGATTATGGCTTAAGATGTAGTAATATCATTTGCAAAATAATTCCCAAATAAAGACAAAGACAAGTGTGGGGATTATGGATTAAAATGGCTAGTATCGTGAACTGTGCACGTAACATAGCTGCAATCCCCAAACCAATGAGTGTGAGAAATATGTGGGGATTATGGCTGAAGACTGATAGCAGCGTCATATACTATCAGTGACATAACTGTAATCCCCAAGCAAGTTGACAAGTATGGGGATTATCGCATCCTGGATGGTTATGAAAGTTGCCCTTACCTTCTTCTCATGATGCAGCTCTAGAAGCGCTTCAGCATCAGACACAGTCTCCGGCGCTCCTGTCTCGTCCATGCGCTTGACTGCTTCCGATACCCATAGCTCCAATTCCTGAAAAAAATACAACATTTTAATATAAAGAAATAAAATTTTCTGAAAAATTGTTAGAAGAACCTAGTAAAATGTGTAGTTTTGAAACCGTGTCATTTCTCGGGGGCATGTCACAGAAGTCGTAAAGGTTCAATGTAAGAGAAAATTTCGGGCCAATATTTAAAAATACAGCTATAATAAATCGTTTAAGTTCGACAGTATTTCAGAATAAGCGACGGCAATGTTTCTTATTGGAGTTTTATGGAATTAGGAATAATATCAATTACGTGTTTAAGTTTGTGTTTGTTAAGCCGCGTTATAAAGCTAGTTACAAGACGGCGGCGTGTAGTTCGCACTTACGGAAAAATGAAAAATATTTACCTACAATTTTTTTATTAATTCGGACTCAAAATCGATAGCCGAGTTACCTCCTAGAAAATGACGCGACTTTAAAACAACACCTTGTATATCCGTAAAGAGTTTGTCTAATAGTGTGAGTTTCATGATTGATTTCATTCAATTATTTAAATGGATGTGTTTTAATTGGAATAAGAATACATTCTACCAATCCCCACCCCTGCTCTTCCCGCAGGTGTCGTATACCTCATTAAAAGACTAAATAATTAGGTAGTTTCCAGGGTATCAAAATTAAAAGCTAATTAGTCTGTCAGTTAGATAATGAAAAAATATTAGACACGTATTTTTTTATTTTCTCGTATTAAACCTTCTTATGTAGAGAAAGCTTAACTGGCACTGGCAACTTGCCACATTGGTACGAACATCCGGGCCTTAATTGTGGTAAAATCATACATAAAAATTCTCCATACCTTAAGGTTCTCATCGAACTTATGTTCGGCGATGGCTTCGTCAAGTAACGCAGTACGTTTGGCCGCCAACTCCTGTAACTGTTCCCAGCCCTCGCGGAGACTGTGGAGGCTCTTCTCTATCTCTTTCGCACGTTCTGGGTATCTAAGGGGGAGAGGGGGATGGGTATAGTTTTTGTGACGCACGTGACTATACTGATAAAAGGTTTACTAGTTTTGAGGCACTTCGCGACAGCGCACGCTGCTTATGAGGAAGAGCCCCTCTGTGGCTCGAAACTAGTAGAGCTTTTCCCAGTATATTCACGTGAGTAACCCGCGATTTTTAGTTAAATTAGTATGTCTTACGATATTTATTATAAAATTATATTTATAGATAGATCAAAATTTTAGTTAATTTCGTATATCTCACGATAGATATAAAAACATGAATCAGTTTCTTTAATCGATAAAACAGAGCAAGCAGTAGCTATGTCCGACCCGAGAATTGAACCCGAGGAGACATAATCCACAGCAGTCACACAAGCGACCATTGAACTAACAAAGCAGTTATAGAAATATTATTCCTAAAATCGTAAATGAATTTCAAAAACGAAAGCAACGCCATATTTATAAATGTCTGAACTCACTTCTGCGTCAAACTCCTGCCTTCTCCCTCCAACTGCTGTATCTTATCCCTAATAGCTCCTGCCTCGGCCGCCCTGGCCAGATGTCTGCGCTTCAACTCCTGCGCAGCAGTCAGCTCGCGCCCTCTCTCGGCGCTACTGAACAATGTTGCTTTCTTGGATATACGCTCTGCTGTGTCTTCTACGTCCCTGGGGGAGATGAAAAAGAGAGTGAGTATGTGTGAGTATAAATAGATGAGTGAGTTTAAGTAAAAATAAGTGAGTGAGAAATGAGTGAGTGTATTTAAGTAATTCTTCTCAAAGATAAGAGGAGATATTTTTCTTGTTGAGGGAGTTTGAGTTTAGTGATTTAGATAATTAGGTAATGCAGAATTAATTAAGTTTTATAACATTGATGAAGTGGGATAATCATAGCTAAAAATAAAAATAAATAAATATTGATAAGCTTCGTTTTGTAGGGAATTTAGTGAATTAATATTATTAAATACTTAGCTATAGAATAATATCATTTTAGTTTCAATAATAAGTGAGCATTTGGGTAATCGAACCGTGTGAGTGAAGAAGTAGGTGAGAGGATGAAATGAGAGTAAATAAGTGAGTTTGTATGAGTGAATGTGTGTTCGGAGCGGTAACGGATTTTTTTTTCTTATATAAACATTGCCCCATATTAGGATTTTCTCCTGTGTCGTGGGTGCGTTTACAAACATACAAGTTCACATACACAATGACACCCAGACCCGAAACAACAATTTGTGGATCACACAAAGTGTTGTTCCGTGCGGGAATCGAACCCGCGACACGTTGCACGGCAGCCGGTTGCCCAGCCACCGCACCAACCGTGCAGCAACAATTATAGCGCGAATTATAATAAAATTATTATTATTAGTCACGAGTTGTCGCGTAGCTCGATAGATGGTGTTAATATCGAGATAGATCGCGCTATGGTTTCGTTACATCAATTTGGTTAGGTTCATCGTCAAATGTGACGTGTCGAGTACAACCAGCGCCCCTATCGAGGAAAAGTAAGTAAATAAAAAGCGAAGTAACAGTGGTGTTTGTGTTGTTTATCCAAATCTAGGGATGTGACGTTGTAGATAAAAAATCGATTTTTAATTAATCGGTTTTTTGCTACGTTTGAAAAATCGATTAATAAATAATCGGTTAATCTTGAGAAAAAAATCGATTTTATGCCATATCGCCATATGCATTATATCAATAGATTTATTCATTAAAAATAAACAACAGAATCAGTAAGTTCTCATACATATAATCAAAACAAATTAAACTTTTTAAACTATTAAATTTTTTATACATTAATCAACAAAATTAAATTATTCAAACACAAAAATCTAGATATTCGTACTGAAATATTAAATTCTTATAAAATCAACACAAATTAAAGTTTTAGAATAATCAAATTAAAATAAACCAACAAAATCAAATTATTCAAATTAAAAAAATCTAGTGAATTTTTGATTAAATGACA